TATGATAACCTCTAAGTGTAGTCTTTATACAAGTTTCAAAATATGAAAACGTTGACAACAAATAAAATAAAAATTTWAAAAATTAACATTTTGGGATWAGGTAGTTACTGTGATTTTTTTAAACTCAGCGAGATATATGTATCATATTTTGCTACAGAAAACAAATTTAATTTCTCAGATGATGGTTCATATTATAATGGTAACGTAGTTTGTGCTTATAATGTCGTGAGTGCAACTTGGTGTTAAAAAGGAGGAGTTGTGTCGAGGACTCATTGAATTTGTGAACTTTAGACCAATACAAATATCCAYCAAGACAAACACCTATATTAGCCAATGTTAATAAAATTTTATTATATTTTCGATTACAAGTAAACAAATAAGTTAGTATTATTGTTTTTGTTAAAAAAAAATTATTTTACTTATTATTATTTCAGTTACAATTTCTTTTAAAACGCTGTTTGTAAACTATGGTCAGGAACCAGAATTACTGAATCACAAAATTGATTCGCTAAATTATTGTATAATATAGGCACATAAACAGACTATTAACAGTTTTAMAAATTAATAAATGCATGTTTTCTCATAGTAATGCAGTTTATAATTTAGTGAGTTCACACTTTCATTGTTAAATTATAGAATAATAAGATAGTTAATAAGTATTTTAATAACTTAGTTTCGTAGTACAAATTACAAAGCTAATATTTTATCGTTTTAATATCACAACGATAATAGGTGACATTTTTGGTTCAGCGTGACTTTTTTACGTGTTGTACATGGCCTGCAACATGCAGCATTTACATATTATTACTATTGGCAATAGTGAACAATCTAAGTGGGAGATATCCAAATAACATAGTAGAAATTTGTTTTGCATATTTTTGACATTTATTATATATTATGAGAATTTAGGTCTAAGTATCGATTCAAAGCATATAAATATGATTTTACTTTTACTAGGATAAAAATAATGGTAGCCATGAAAAATATATTAATTACATAGAAATGTATTAACAATTAACTTATTTAGTTATTTTTTAAAATTTATTTCAATTTATACTACAATTATAAAATAAATAAATAAGATGGCACAAATTCACAAATACTTACTTAGCACGATATGAATTATTGCGTTTTTGTAAGTAATAATTAATATTATATATATATATATATTTTTTTTTACCATAAAAAGTGAAACTTATTTTATAAATCTGTTGAAACAATTATTTTCCATATTCAGTGTTTAATTTTAAAACGTGACATTCCATGGGTTTATTKCAATGTTACATAATATTAAGCACAAATACGTAAATATATATTTTTAAAATTCACAACAAAGTATCTTCGCTGGTTAGTTCTTCCCTCTAGATTTTCAAGACTTAACTTAAAGATACCATCCATTATGTTTATTGAAACTTTTTTTTTATAGATCGTATATATTCTAGATTAAAAAAAAAATATATATATATATATATTACTGGTACTTTTCCAAACACCGATTATATAGGTACCATTCCCGTGTAATTAAAAATATTAAACCATAACCCATGGGATGACTTACTGTAAACTTGTCGGAACGACGAAGTGTGATGGAAGAAAGAAACGATTTCTTATGACGCACCGGAAAAGTAATTGAATATTCCTTCGTTCTTGGCGGTAGAAAATAACTGAGGAATTTTGCTGTAATRCTATATATACTTGAATGCTGCTGTGGGTAAAAACTCTAGTCTCCCGAATATCTCACYCTCTGACAAAATATTTTTCAATTAGACAAATGAGAAAAAACAGTACACTGGCATTCAAACAATCCCTGTAGGATTTTTTTTGTGATTATTTTTTTTTCTATTGACGGACTGGTTAAATATAATTGTATTGAAATTTTATAGTGAGGCTATATATTAATAATAGTATTTGTGTGAATGAAAAAAAAAATGAAATTCTGAGTAATCCATGGGGCACTTTTTACTTATCAGAACAAGTATTCATTTTAAAAATTCTATTTTTTTTTTTTATTATTATTGTTATTCATGAGATTTTTCAACAAAATAAAAATCGTGATACATATTCGCACATTTTATACTTTTTACAGGGAAGGGTTGTGTGTTAAATATTAATTCTATACTATAATTGACAGTGATGGGAATTTTAACCTGTTTTTTTTTTTAAATTTGTTATTTGTATGATGATATTATAATTATTTATTAATGCATATAAATATGTTATACGTATTTAGCTGTTATAATATACACATTGTTATTGTATATTTACTATTTAGTATTATAACGTATCAATTATAGTACAATACTAAAAAAAAATATTTTTACCTTCATCATTATTATAGTCTTTAGAATATGATCACAGGGTTCAAACTACTAATTTTATTTTATATAGCACTGAAGGATAAAAGTAAATTAAGTTGTAAAATGTCAATCAATCGGTAAACTACTTTATAGAGTGCTCATCCAAGTTGATTTGTTTTAGAAAATATCCTCATGTTAAAGTAATATTATGTAGATTACCTATTTGACTCCTAATAAATATTGTACGTTACCGAAAACAAAAATGTTCTGGAAACCTAACCCGACCATACTGCTGGCCAAGAAACGCCAGCGTACTTACTATTTTAGTATTATCTCTTAGCAATTAGCATATAATATTAACCGGTGACGCAGGGTTGAAAATTACGGAGAGTACCTAGGTAGGTATTGAAATACTAATACGCCAGCTGAAGACAAGATTGGTCGCTGTATTTATTTCCAATACTAGTATAGTTATTCCACTGCTTCGATATTTACGTCCTGACTTAATATTATTACATACGTAATAATATTTAATCGTCTGAAATGCGTATTAACGTACTAATAATTGAGTACCACACTCACTCAATACATAATTTTAAGGACAACATTGCTATGCACACTAATCGTTTGAAATGTATACAGTTAAATATACACTGTGCACTAATGCATTCGTATAAAATATGCACTAATCTCRGATAATGTTAATAAGCTACTGAATATATTACTATGGTTGCACGCATATAATACCTTAGTTTCAAGATGAATTCGGTAGATAACAGTGCCATTTGTCATAGAAATTGTCGTCATATAATAATAATGTAATATAGTGTTGTGTGTTATATATTTTACTTAGACTAAGACTACAGACAATTACTTGAAACATACTCCACGCCATTAATTATGATAAGTAGATACGTTTGTCATGATATTGTGTTCCTCTAGAATGATTTAATCTCCTCGCTTGAATAAGTGCGCACAATCGTTTTGATTTTGATTTTTAGTATTTGTATAGCGAGTATAATTATTATGAAAATGATAATATCGTCTACAGCGTTCGTCCATCGCTCTTTTTTGTACAACAGAGTTGTCAACCGAGTATCCAAAAAGCCATCCACCTCATCATATAGTTATTATAGTTTCATTCAAGTTAGTGACAGTTATGATAATTTTCCACAGTTGCATGCATTTAATTTTCTGTGAACGGTAAAAACATGTTTTTTTTTTACGAAAAACGAATGATTGCAACATATATAATAAAAAATACAGCGGTCAATCGATTGTCTATACTGAAACATGAATGTAATCAATTTTTGAAATTCATTATAGGTACTTCATATAGCGTCTTAAATATCAGTTTAATTTTTAAATTCCTTTGTACATATTAGAACAATAGAACGGCGTACTATTGATATCTTTTATTTTATATCGCACTGCAGTCCTGCAGCGAATGTCGAAATGTAACTATCCGGATGCGGGCGCGAGGATTCGACCTTAAACGTTTTCTGTGTTCTAATTACAATAGGTCGAAAACGACCAAAACACTGGACCGTGTATACACGCCGAGGGTTGCGTAAGTATATATATTCGGACAGCTGTGAATACTATAGAAAAGTCGTTGTTGACGATTGGGCAAGCTTCCTAACGGTCGGTGCGGGTGGGTGAAGAGGCATCGACAAATTGCGTCGTAGAGAACGTGTTATTGTTAACCAACTATGGAGACGGCCAAGTCCATTTGTAATTTTTCCCGCCGGAAGAGCTTCAGCCACGCACTACAAATGACCGGTGCAAATTGTTCCGCTGAAAGGAAAATATATATTATATGTATATAAATCGTGTACACGCCGTTTTCCCGGGACGTCCGATGCAGGGTCGGCACTATACCACCGCTGCCAGTTGATTAGGTTCATTGGTCCACGATCGCGCAACAATGATTTTCCATCTGAATGGTATACGAATGTTGTTAAGTATATATGTATAATATATATATATATATGAAGAGAGAGATAGAGAGAAATAACGGCTCCAGAACATTGTTCGGAACGTGGTAAATACCACGGTTGTGGTTGTTGGTGATATATATATATAATATAATAGGTATATATGGTTATAAAAGGTATAGTGGCATTCATCGTCGTGGTCGTGGTCGTCGTCATCGTTGCTGAGATAATGGTGGGGAAGTACAAAGATGAGGTTGATAGCGTAATGGTATAGTGTTGGTAGCGGTGGTAGCGGGGTAGTTAGCTTTGTGGAAATAATATATATATAATAGCTCCGGTCCAAGATACGGCCGGAAAGGGAAGCCGTGCGGACATACAATAGTCGAACAATTGTCGTGTCTACGGCGGTTTCCCCAATCCTCCCTACACAACCATCGTACCGTTCGTCTACTAGCTTCATTGGTCGTGCACTACCACCCTGCCAACTATTACTGACACTTGGGTTTACCGCATCGATTTCCGTCGGTTTTTGGCGTTGTCGGATGATGATAATAGGAGAGATACGTGCAAATTAATATTTACGACTGACCGCGTCATCATTCGCCGCTTACACGTGTCGTTGTAATGTATATCGTCATCCCAAAATAATAATTACACTATATTATAATATAGGTGCACGCATAATAATAATAATAATAATAATACATTTATTAATGACTTCGCCATCTAATAATTGATTAATGGTTTTTGTGTTGTTTTGTTTCAGTGCCGCCAGAACATCCGGTGGTGTTTGACAGGTTGGGAAGGCAGTTGAACATGACAGTCGGTCCACTCGACGAGGGTGATGGCATTGCACTCATTTGTCGAGTTATCGGCGGTAAGTGATTTTATTACCCAAAAACAGTAAAACGTCGTGCATGGTAGTTAGAATCATATTACAATATTATTACCATGCAGGTTTAATAATAGATTAATAGTAATATACTGCATGCGTGTCAACAATAATAGTCAGTCACAGTCACATTATTGTCACCTAAAAACGATATCATGATTGTAATACTATATAAACATAATAATATCCACTGTTCGGTAAAAATCAATGTATAGTGTATACGCCATTATAATAGGGCAGTTTGGAATTTTAGATATTATACAGTTAGCTGTGTTGTTACCCTTATTTTTGATTTCACTACAATAAATACGCAGAGAGAAGAACAATAATAATTGGATAGAACTYCGCCCTTGCTGTATACGAGAAAAAGTTAAAAAATATTTCATCGCCGATGATGCAACTGTCGTATTGTTTGCTTTTCCTTCTATCTATCTTAAACTTATGGTGTATAGAATAAACATATTTCTAGTGAACTTGAAAATATATTTGAACTCTGGTTTTGTAAATGAGGTACAGATCTACTAAACTATTATTTTGTTTACACTTAAAGATTGATTAAATTTAATATATAGCTATCGCTATAAATTATGAAGGATTTGAAAAAAAATTTGTTTATAAAAGTGTAAATGTATAATGAACATTGAGCTGATTTTCTGCATATATTGACATTTTAAAGTTACAGTTTTTAAAATTAATGACATTTTTTAGTGTCGCCTGATTTGTATTTAAATATGATATTTACATATATAATGTATAGTGTATACACCGTACTTAATTAAAAAAAAACTAGAAATACTACCCGAATTATTTGCGTTTTTCAATTATATTTCGATAACTACTAAATTTATTAGTTTCAGTTATTGTATTGTCCAATATACATTAAAAAATATYCAGCACATTATTATTACCAAAGTATAGTAAAATCAAAACTTATCATTGTTTCTACCCATTTGCTTACCTTACCTTCATTGTGCCTTTGGCCAAACGACATTTTCACTCTCCATATAATCACCAACTTTCACATATCCGCAACAGCTATTTTTCTCAATCGTTATTCATAAATATTGTAGTAAAAATTGTATTTACGTACAAGATTCAAATACCAAAATTTTCATAATTTTTCAATGATATATTATATGTGGATATCGTTGGTAGGTTTTATTCCCAKAAMATTTCTACATCCTTGGCTATTTACCATATTGTCACCAACATATTATATATGACTACTGCAGGGTTTCTATAGTTTCTGTCATATATATCATTAAATTGCATCTATAATTGTTTATGCCTACGAACATGGTCATGTGAAATTCATGGTGGGTAGTGAATTATACGACTCTTAATGCAACTATCTATGTATTCAAACTTAAAGCCATTCGCCAACAATTAGGAACTTAYTGAAGTTATTAACCTAACAACTATATCTATAGTTGGTATACCTACGGTTATATGCTCAATTACCTACTATATATATTCAATGAATAATTGACGCTATAAATACTCACTGCACTAATAAACTAATTATATAACTCACTAGCTTTATTCGTTTGTTGTATTATAGCTTCCGATAAATAGAAATATTGATGTTGAATGCTAGGTGTTATATTTACTAAATGCGTTGCCTCTTACGACCTATATATAATTTGATATTGGATTTTTTAGAATTAAAAATACCATTTTTAGGATGGTAAATCGATTTGGTTATTATTTGCATATTTTATATTAAATAGTTTGGGAATAACTGGTAATATGTATTTATAAATCATCTCCTACATATCATTAAATGATCACAATAAGGGCATTCAATTGAAATAATATTGAAATATTAATATTAATATCGGGAAAATGTGATTTGAAAATATGGATAAGCTTATTATTTACAATAAAACTTGTGTTTTTCGATTATATGAATGACYCATTCACCAATTTTTAATTGTATTTGAAGAATGAACGTACATAATGTATATAATACAGTTCAACGTCAGATTTTGTACTTACTATTTGACCTTAACAAACGATTTTTTTCTCATATATAGAATCAATAATCTGATAAGAAAAAAATTATATTTATTACACAATGTTTAAGAAAATGACTATCGGTATTCGTCAATTAACTTTTGGTTTTGGATAGTTTATATATTTTCAATAAAATGATTAATGTACCTATATTTAAATTTTGATCGATTGAAAATACATTTTTACAAGCAAAATCAATCTCAAATGAAGTTAATCTAAATAAAAAAACAATAATGACCATCAATCACCGTACATATTGCATCCACCGTGAAACAATTGCCATTTATTAATTTTTTTCTTAATATTATATTACTATTGTCAAAATATAGATCATATAAATGATATTACCTTATTATTTATTGAAAAAATAAATTATTTAATACCTTCAAAATATAAACTATAAACATTAAAAAAGTTTCTTTATAATATAATATGTTTTTTTAATATATATWTTTTTTTTAACCTAATACAGTAATAAATATTATGATTATAGCTATGAATATTATATAATATAATTTTCACATTATTCAGAGAAGTACAATATACATATTACGTAATAATATATAGATTTTGGGTGTATAATGTATATATATTATATATGAATTTATTATAGTGAAATAATATAAATTAAACACTATTACGATATTCACGTGGACACGTTATATATTTACACTTATTATTTTTTATGGTATTATTGTTTCAGATTGTTTCAGAGCAATCAACTAATTTTAATTGTATTGAGGTTGTTATTGATTCACAAATATATATATGTATATACATAATATATAATGACTCAGATATTCCATATTTTGCTGGAATTCAACGGTGCAGGTAGGGGGTGGTATAATTGCTTAGGTTAGTGGATATTATGTTTTAWTTTTTTTTTTTATACTATTTCGTATTAGATTTTGTTATACGAAAAGTTTGGGACCTCCAACCGTCTAAGTGATCGATTAGACGCATACCGTATACGTAGGTTTATTTTTAGTCTTTTTTTATTTCTGGTACGCAGACGTTTACCGTGAGATTAATGTAATGTGAAAACCCGGTGTAAAGTTTGTTGTGATCTTTTGTAATGAAAAATCAAGAGCTCGTGTGTGCCCTTTTACTATATGTTGTCGCTTCGTGAAAATAAAAAGTAAATGCAATTAGGATAAACCGATACTCGGCTTTTTATTTTTTATTCTTTTTTATTTTTCCTTTTTTTTTATTGTTGTTCAAATACTGTATATTGTAGACTTCGGTTTCTACATTTGAGATATTTTAAATTGTTTTAAAGTCAATATGTCTCCGTATCACCATCAAAGGTTTGAAGTTTGTTTTAAATATTTTTAAAAAATATATATAAATCAATAGACTCAGTTTATCACCTTAAATTTCACTCAAATATCTCTCAAGACAGTCTCAACCAAAACACTCCTGGACAAACTGGAATATTGCCTAAACCAGACTTGGCCTAGAGACACACTTGTGTAAATTAAATTGATTCAATTAGGGTATCTCAACTGTGAGATTTCATACTTAATTATATTAATTTTATTACCATTAATACCTTTGTCCATTGAAGATCTTAWTGCATTTACTTATTGAATTTATACGATGATGATAATATTCATAAAGAATGCTACTACTTGAAATTTCTCATAAATATAAACTATACAATTATAGTATTATTATGTGTGGTAACACTGGAATAGTAGACACACAGATGTTATATTGTTTTGTAACGGACTAGTAATAAACTAATAAGTCGATATTGAGATCATGTTGTTTTCTAAGCAGTAAGATTCGATATAATTAATAAAGGTTTAATTAAATTAATATTAATGTTTTATGATTTTAATATATTTAAGTATTAAAACACCACATGGTGCAGTCGGTTTATGTTATTATGAATTGATAAATCRTKCGGATCAATTGGGTAATAATAGATAATTTAAGACCACCAAATGAACTAAAAATCCACGAGGCGCATGTAGAATGGCCAAAGTGGAAGAAGAATTTCAATATCTAAAAGTAGCTGCCGGTATATCAAAAAAGAAAAAGGACGAACAATTAGCCATCTTCTTACATATAATTGGGGAGGATGCTAGAGATGTGTTTGATACATTCGAGTTTTTAACCTGTTGTTGTAACAATGTATTATAAGGAGCCTTGTATTCAATTTTGAAGCTTTTTCACAAAAATAATAAAATTGTACAGTCATTTAAAAAAAGTGAAGAAATAAGACTCAAGTCTTTGGTTAGCTACAAAAAGAATACTTAATCAACGCAATTTAATACCCCCATTAAAAAACGGAATAGCCAAATATGACACAAACTCAGAAAATTCCGAAGCCTTTGCAGATTATTTCGATTCATGCTTCACCATGGAAGATGACATCCATTATTAAAACGAATACACCGAAATAATATCGAACAAAACTAACCATGAGTACAACACCACTATCACTCCAACATCCCCAAGGAAATAAATCAATTATAACAAAAATTAGCAAGCAAAAAAAGTCCTGGTCACAACCTAATAACAAATAAAATCTTTAAAAAACTAACATCAAAAAYATAAGCGTATTTAGCTACTTTTCCCCCTACATGGAAACATGTTATAATCCCCATTCATAAACCTGGAAACCAGACCAACTCTCCCACAAGTTACAGGCCAATCAGCCTATTACTGACCCTATCTAAACTGTATGAAAGGATTCTACTGAATAGGATGAAACCCTATTTACACATAATCCTAAAACACCAATTCGGATTCAAAACACAACAATCCATATGTCATCAGATCCAACGTATATCTAAAATAATCGTACAAGGCTTGGAAAACAAACAATACACCACAGTAGTTTTTCTTGATTTAACACAGGCTTTTGATAAGGTATGGCACCATGGGCTTGAAATAAAACTGAAAGCACTCAATCTCTCTATTTACCTAGATAGAACATTCTAAGTGAGAATAGATTCCGT